GACTTGTCGATTTCCGGCATTGTTAAATAAATTCCGGCATGTTATGATTATGCATTATATTCATGATATATATTGCATATACACATTCGAAAGTTTATGTTCAATGCTCATAAACGTATTTAAGCCTTCCACCTCTTCAAAAAATTTGTTACATACATACATATATAAAAAATAAACAAGAATCCTATCGGTTTACTAACACGCTAGTAGTTGTCCACACCGCCGCATGCCAGTAAACGGCTACTGCCGTTGTTTATTTTTTATATATAAATGTTCCTACGAATAATGACATATCGGCAGGTGTCCGGACAGGATTTTGTTCTACTCTGCCCACTAATGCGGTTTTGCACCTATACACTGTAGGTGCTAAAACCCCATGGAGACGTGGCCTGCTTAAATAGTCTCCCAGGCTGAGAAAAGCAATGGGAAAGCAGTAACTGTACGCCGAACAAATTTGATAGTAAAAGAAAAATGCTATTTTGCATATCTAATTCTATATAAACCATTAGGTTTCCCCCACACACAGCTGATTACATGATCAGGTTGCAGGCACGTCATCAAATGGTTCATCGACCTGTCGGTCGATCATTCTTCAGCATAACGCGGTAATGCATACAACATGGATGTCACTCACCCCCTTCTATCGTTAACATCGTATCAGCCGTTCGGACGAACTGAGCTGAAAATCGTAGCCAATCTTGTTGCCTTGTTTACGGCCTTGCAAAGTTCGTCGATTCAGCGAGATGACCTTCAGCCCTGATCGACGACGATCCGCATATGATTATGCTGCTATTTGTACATTCGAACAAACGAACCGAACCTGCATGTAAGTTGAGACGCGCAACGACGCCCACTCAGGTAAACATCAATGCAACGGTCAGTTCGATCAGTCATGCGGCAGAGTACGACCTTGAAACTGAAGAAACCACGAACCAAACTTCTAATCGATGACTCACACCGTAAGAGAGGAGTATAAAAAATAAAAAGGGTGAGAAAAAGTGACAGAGGGTGACAAAAGGAGTGTTGTATGTAATGGAATCAATGCATGATGTTTCGCATCACAGGTGTTACCAATGTGTCCTTCTAAACGAAAGAAATGAAGAAATGTGGATGGGTGCGAATTGACAAAGGTCACTTAGTCAAGGTCAAAAATACGACGGTCAAGAAAGGCATCTGCTGATCGGAAAGTATTAAACAGACGAAACGAACAGGAAACAAAAGCTCAACTCGGCAGTTAATCTTGAAGAGCGACGCCTCGTCAGTCATTCGCATATTTTCTATAGTTCTTCATCTAAGTTCAAAAGTTCATTTGTTAAATGTCTGGCAAAAACGTAGCCCCCAAACCAAAAGCAATATGTCACAGTCCGAATTTTACGTACTGATCAAATGTTAATCGCACGTCAACAACACAGCTGCTGGCATGTGAAAGGAAGCAGAAGTAAAACAACTTTAACGATCTCCGTCAGTCACTTGTCTGAATTCGCATGGCGTAGCTGCACTGTCAGCATGTGTCTAGTTTCTGGTAGGCCTTAAGAGTATCCCACGGTTATGGTATTTTAGCACCTGCAGAGAATAAACGTCAAATAGCGCCATTTTGTTGGGTCGAAAAAAAATGTTCAAACATAAACGGATATACATCGATCCATAGCGTATATGATAAAAAGATAAGCATTGGAATACATTCCCTTCGATAGTCCTCTCTTCACAGATCTTTCATCTGAAAAAAAGAATCGCAGTTATACAGTGGCTGGCAAAAAATCCTACCCTCGGTCGACATCTCATTTTTTCTCTTAAAAATGACAAATGTGCTTGCGTTCACGCATCACCTCTGTCGTCATTGTCGATCGGCTGTTCAATGCCGTTTCTCGGCGAATATGCAGATTGTAGATTTAAGCCATTCTTCTAGTTGTGGAGTGGTGGTACAGTATCTAACAAGTCTGTTTAGAACTCCGGAAATGATGGGTTCGAATTCACACGAGAGCAATCTGTGTCCTATTCAAAAATTACCTTCAGCAAGTAGTTTATGGCATGTTGCATCAAACCAGAGTTAATCAGTCGGTAGAGGGTCGAACTCAGAACTGTTACGTCCTCAGCTGAAATGCCGGTCGGGGTAATTCGACTTTCTTCTTCCTGATGTTGATAAATAAGCACCACTCTATGAGAAGGAAACAAGAGACTCTCCGTTATGCATGCCACGAGGATGTAGACTCTACCGAAACTGGCAATCCCCAGTCACTTGATTGGTAATCAGCCTGTGGTATTTTTCACATCCCCCCCGGTTACGTTGTCACGGACGTGCAACATGTAGTCCGGCCTAATTCACTTTGTCCTTCCTTGCTACTAGTGCAACGTCTTTCACTAAAGTCATACGATGAAAAGATGGTTATGTTACACAGTACCAAACAGCTTTTTAGCATTAATTTTACCATCAATCACTACAAGACGGTGCAAGGTCAGGAGTCATTCATCTCGTTGGTTCAAGGACCACGTTCCACTCCTGCTCAATGCCTTCTTCTCCAACTGACACTTCAACCTTCTACGTGAAATCTTTGGTAGTAATAAATTTTTACGACACTGCTGCAACAACCATCTAATCTTATAACACTTTAGCTACAAGACATCTATTATTACATCGTTGAAAGAACCATTCTTCGCCGAAACCACATTCGATCCTACCTTGTTTCCCTATGCAGCATGCTGTCTTCGCATGACCGATGTCTGGCGTATTTTGGCTTCAACGTCAGGAGCCCACGGACTGGAGCAAATGTATTATGTTCAACCGCCTTGTCTAATAGGATGAATCTCGATTTCTTCCTCTTCGCATCTATTTAACTTATCTGTGCTCAGAAGAGAATAAACTAATTCCTAACGTGATCTTGCAACTTAACTCTCATCATGCCTTGAAGCCAACGTTGCTGCTACACGCAGTTTAACCGTAGTCCTTGCCCTGGTTTCATAGCCACTGTCTCCTTACCGTACAAAAACACTGATCTGTTAAGCCAAGATATGGATTCTATGAAATCAGACATTCCCTTCTCAACCTAAGCATTGGCCAGATTTTCAAGAGCACTTCATATCCTCCTATTTTAGTCTGGTTGCATGGTATCATTGCTGGAGCCGAGATTCCTAATTTTGAAAGCCTGTTGAAATGCTCTATCGCCTTGTTCTGTTCTTAGATCAAATGTGCCGGATGGTTCTTCACCGCTTTTGATAACCGAACGATTTTTCTCTTAACGGAGATATGTGTATATATTTCCGATGACTACCCTATAGTAACTAATTTTTTAACTATTTCCATATATTTTAATCAAGGTAATTATATGCTTCTTCTTCCTGATGTTTATACTGTAGCCACAATGATTGTGGTACAATGTAAGGTTTTAGTTTAACACTAGAATTTCTAGGCTTGTACACGCTACACCCTGCACTCGATACCAAAATCTTTCACTACGAATTTTTCTCGTAACATGATCGATCTATGGCATGTTTTACGTCCCATGGTACTATTCGACCACTGAGGATGTCCGACTCTTGTCATTTCGGCAGGCAAAGTTCTCGGTATATTTCAATTTACTCTTCGTTGCCTCAAACACAACGTTCTCTACTACGGTAATCCGACGGACCCGTCCAAGTGCTGTGCGGTCTGATCTGCAGATTACTATCATTCTTCTTTCTATGGTATTCTTCATGACGCTAATGCGCCGCGTTCACTCTCATACGACGTTGCTGAACAAAGATTAAACTGAAGGGCTTTTTGAATGTGGCGTCAAGCTACCTATCTGAGATCACACCAACCACATTGCAGCTACAGTAACCGGCTCGGCTCATCCTCACAAAAAAGTCCCCCTCCTCTTCCTATGTAATTCTGCGTGACAATTCCTTACCTTGAGTCTTTGTAGCTGATGACATTTCTCACTTTTACATTTCCGATAGATGATTGAAGCTCTTAGGCGAAGTTCCTGCCCATGTTGCAATGGCTTTGCAAGATTCCATATGCAGAAA